TCCTCGGATTTTCGCACCTTCTGTTCTGCACCAGTGACAATTGGTAACCAACCAGGCAGGAAAATCCAGATGAACCTTCTCGGCCAACAAGGCGAGCGAACACGAGAGCTCCTGGTTAGCGAGCCAGCGTCTAACCCAGTAAGCTCCACTTATTTATTTTTAACACCGTAATTCACCACACATTCTTCGCATACCCAACTTACGCTGTCTATAATGATGTATGTTTTCGAATTACGCCCCCCCCCCCCCACCGCCCTCATCAAAGTACACGAAATTGTCGCTCCGCAAAGGATGCAAGTTCCTGATGCAACGACCGAGAGTTTACCACCTTGGTATGATGTACGGAAAATAGCCCGCGGCCCTCCTTGTTTGTGATTGATGCCCCTCGAGGACATATTTGGTGACACTTTCAAGCGATTATGTAGAGAAAAAAAACACAAGGCAAAGACGACTAGAAATGACATTCGTTGCATTAATAGAGAGGGAGAGAAATGGGGTTTAACGCCCACTTGACACAGACTAGGTCATTTCGGGACTAACATATGGTTCAATTTTATTTCAGCACTTCGTTGGACAGGCGACCCTACTCCTTGTCACGTACAACCGAGGAATCGAACCCAGGCCAGTTGACTCAATAACAGACCTTATAATACAGCGCGCACGCGTTAAACATTCGCCATCCACCTCCAGCCCAAAAGCATTTCAAATTTACCAACGCTAGCAAAGCTTATAGCATTGTTATCAACACCTGTTTTTCTATTGCATTAAAAACTTTTGTTACATTCTTTTTTGCAGTTTCATATGTTCACACAATATTTCCAACAAAGAGATGTAAAAAATGAAAAACAGCCAAGATCAAAGCGGTTCTTACTTAATAATTGTATTTTAGGTCTTTTAAGCTTGATAATTACAAATATACTGTTCATTTTTTTTATATAATAAACGATATTATATTTAATATATCTCATGCAATTTTATGTAATTGGCACTCAGTTGCATGTATAAAAATTGCAAAAGAAATATCTAAACGGCCAATTAAATCTCATCGAAACATGAAATAGACATATTTTATGTTTATATAATGACGTGCCAAGGGGGGCGATGCGAACAATTTTATTAAAAATGATAATTACATTTTCATCTTCCATGTGACCGGCCTACGTCTGGAGTCATATTTAAAGGGCCAATCTCGATTATGTTTTGGGGAATAAAACTGCAAAATTTTGTGTTAATAGCCTTTAAAATCCCCTAGCTTTGGGCCGAGGGGCTAATTCAATACACGTGATACGTTTTCAAAAACTTATACTCGTCAGTCTTCATCTGAAAACGGAGATCGGTGTGATAAGCAGTATTATACGGTGTCTGGATAAAACCAGACTTTTATTTTATAAAAATAACATGTAGGTGAAATTTACCTTTCGTTATTAGGTACAGACCTCTAAAGGCACGGCAATAGATTATCAGGTCAACCAGAGAAAAAATTGAATCGAAATCTTAAGAGGGTTGCGTATCCGGATAAGCGGTTTTGACGACGTCAAAACGACTCAATATTTTTCTCCCTGCTTACACCCTACTGATCACTTTGAACCCTAGGTGGGGAAACACGGTTCTCAAACACAGTGCAATGTTTTTATAATCTACTTCCTGTTACTGGTTCCTTCCGTCAATGATCAACAAAACTCTTTATTGTGTGCTTTATTGAACACAAAGTAAAGTCCCCGTTAAAATATTTATATCAGCCAGTAAACACAGGATTGCGTGGTATATGGTGAAAATGACTCTTTCATTATAGAAAATGATCTTAGGAGAAGTGCAAATCGATGTGCTTAAACGTACCCAACTTTACTACCTTTAAAACATTAATGTTAAAAACTGTAATGAGCAACACTTAGGATATAAAAATAGTAAATGATTCTTTGATTATAGACAATAGCACTACAAGAACTATAAATCACATCCACTAATCAAAACAACCCTAGTTACAATCAATATTTAAACAGGTGGGTGTAACAAGCAAGGAATGGAATTGGGATTAACGTCTGGTCAACACAACCCCCACCTCGTCCATATTTCTTTGTGCAGCTAACCACTTTCTAATACACTGACCAAGCATGCCGGAAGAGTAAGCATACACGACACCATCATGACCACAAATGGCAAGATTGTGGTGGTAAAACAGAAATGAAATGTGTAATGTCCTTAACAGAGTTCTCGTGTTTGTTTTTTCTTTTTCTTTCTTTTTTTTTGGAGGGGAGTGGGTACACGAGGGCTGCCCCCGAAGCTGGAGTTTAAGGTATAATAGCAGCTCGAGTCGAGGAGTAGCATAGGCCTGATGGCGTTGCACTGCCAGTTCCGATTTACGAGTTCTACTATTCCCGATTCTGAGCTCTGAGCTCGACCAGTGTAACACTTTTTGTAGAATTTTTGCTCTTGAAATTAATGATGGCATTATATTGTATTACATGTAATTAATATTTTGGCAAGTTATTAGATTCACATATATGTAGTATGTACTTAAATCAACTTAGTGAATGAATGACATATTGTTATATAAAAAAAGAGTCATAATGTGCTAAACATTCAATTCTAGGTTGATAACATATATCTTGTGGGAAGTTTCTTCGGTATATTTCAATTTTCCATATAAGGGTGGGTTTCGACGTCATTAACCTAAATTGACCAATCTCTATACTTATTACATCATATTTAACCAATTAGATAATTGAGGGTCCAAAATCCAAAACTACAAAACAATCATACTTGTGAGAATTCGCAGACAACAGACAGATTCTGGAAGGGAAAAGTTTCTATCAGCAGACTCGCCCAGCGAGTCTGGCTAGTGTTTGAGAATGACTTTATTCTATTTTGCATTGTACCATATGTAAGCAGCTATATGATATATAAAATGTAAAACGAACTGTTGTATTGTTTTAACTACTGAGAAGAGAAACGTCTTAAGAAAACAGAAACAAGTAAATACACAACGTGAAGGGGGGGAGCAAAGACAACCAGAGACAAATTCTAGACGATTACAAGGCTACTAAGATATGTAGTAAGAAAAGATGCATGGGTCATACGTAGGATGTGGCGATGGGTTTGACAACGTCCGCTCTCCACGTCTGACAGAAGGCCCATGGTGCTACACCAGTGTAAAGCCCACACAACCGCTAGTACGATATATTTACGTTAGTTCAATAGTCTTTAGCAGTAGGAGGGAACCGGAAATCCAGAAAAAAAGGAAACCCTACTTATTTTCACACTCACGACAATTTCTCACGAATAAATGGCAGACATTAGATTTCACGGCCAATCAACCATCCTAATTTGGAATTATTTAACGTTGTATTCATGCGCTGACGTCTGTGGACAAGAATAGTCTGATCTGTTAACGATTAATGAATATATGTAATCATCTCTGTCATTAGCACAGTCTTTTGTCTAATTATATACATTCTAATAGATAATCATTGTTAAGTTTAAATCTATTAGTGTACTACACTAGACATTTGATGATGTATAACAATACTGTCTGATGAGGTACTCATACTCCAGTATTAAAGACAAATGTACTGTCGCAAAATGTAGTACCATGGGTCGTTTGTCAGATATGGAGAGCGGACCGACGTTAAAACCGGTCGCCACATCCGGTGTATGACCAATGCATTCTTTTCTTACTACATACATATCTTAGCCTTGTGATCGTCTAGTATTTTTAATTGTCTTCGTTGGCTTCCTTTTCACGTTTTATATTTTCTTCTTACTATTATCTCAATAATTAAGACGTTTTATCTTCTCATTAGTTAAGACGTTTGTCTTACCAGGAATAACAATACAACAGTTAAGTTCTACATTTTATATAAAGCACTGGATACATATGGTACAATGCATAATAGATTATAATAATTCATTCTCTCAATCCCATTCCACCCAGACACTAGGGCGAGTCTGCTGATAGAAAATGATACATCATATGGTCTCGGAACTCAGATGGTAATCGCTATAGAACCCAAGGATATCTGATCTTAAAAGGCCCGACAGTCTCTTTTATAGGATTCATATTGGTATTAGCCTTGAAGTCTATCACGCTCAGATCTATGCAATTACTGATATGACTGGATGGTGTGCCAAATAATGGAATTGGAATTTTTCGATACAAGTGACGCCATGATATAATTTTAACCGATCAAAACATCATGTTTATTAACCTATGGAACATTTCATGTATCAAAGTGTCATAGGTTTCTGTTATTCTCAATTTATCTCAAAACAATAATTTGACTCATATATGTACAATGTATGTTAACCCAATAATTACTTAAAGATATAATATAATGCTATTATTAATTTAAAGAGCAAAAATTCTTACAAAAAGGCCAATCAATAATTTCTATTTAGATTTAACATCAAATAGGACTGACAAGTGTTTTTTAGAAAGTAATTCAGATGATTAATAAAAAGTAGGTTATATCATCTCGGCCTCGATGTTGTTGGCTATAAATGAGTTACGGTATCGTTCAATGGAATAAATTTCTTGACGTAAAATCAATAGAAAGCAACGTGAACTTTGTATGAAAATAAGTAACTGTTAATTGTGACCGCACGAGTTATTAATATGTGACCACACGAGTTATTGATACCTGTGACCACACGAGTTATTAATACCTGTGGCCAAACGAGTTGTTTGTGCCTGAGACTAAAACAACATAATAACCATGAAGAACGTTTGCATGTTAAAACAACAATATGTGAGTATGTCGCTGTTACACGAAGCAGGAAGTCGCAGGTTCGATTCGGGATTTACCTACTGAAATCCGGTTTTGACAGAAGGTTTGACAAGGAAAAACCGTCTTCATTAACCCGGTTGATGCAGAAAAGTAGGACGTTTACCCCCCACCCCCACCCTCCTTGCATTTCAAACATTGAAACATCTCAGTTGTGGCCCCAACCGCCCAGCACCTTTAACTCTGATAACGGTACTCAGTTATTCCACACAAACTTACCTTTTGCCTGAACTAAAATCAATTTACCACGATTCACCTAAACTCCGATCAAATGAAAATTTAATAAAAATTCACTTGCTTTCAAATCACCACCCAGTTAACTACGCTCACTGTCTTATACTGATTGAGTAAGAAATCAGCGTGTTTACAAACGACTGTTTTACTTCTTGTCGGTTTTAATGTTCACAGAGGACGAGTTAACCTCAGTTCACTCAAGTATATACATTTAGCGTGTCAACAACATTCATGTGCTTTAAATGTCGAGGTCATAATCGCAGATTTAATGTTTTATACCAAAAACTTATGTTGATTGTCGCGTTTTAGGCCTATTCGAATAGCGTTTATTATTGATCCCTATAATTCCACAAGCGGTGTTCATAAATTGATTTACAAAGTAATAAATACATAAATAAAATGATTTGTTAAATGTAATAAGAAATTATTATTATTATTAATATTATTATTATTAGTATAGCATATATACAGTGCGTCCAACCTCGTGGGTTTTCTCCGGGTCCTCCGGTTTCCTCCCACTGCTAAATCCCCTACGCGCAAGCGAATTATTGAAATAAAATTAAACCATATGTTTGTCCCGAAATGACCTAGTTTGTGTCGAGTGGACGTTAAACCCCATTTCTCTCTCTCTATTTACAGTGCGTCCTTTCATATAACATGTGCTGGGACACTTTACAAAGTGACAATATAATCATAAATAAACAACAAGATTATGGACATGTTAACGATTGTATACAGAGTCAGTTAAAAGCCTGATTAAATAAATGTGTTTTAAGTTGTTTTTTAAAAGAATATAGAGATGTACAACATCTTAAACTAAATGGTCGATTATTCCATAAAACAGGTACTTGATAACTAAATGAAATGGGGTTTAACATCCTACTTTTCTGCTCCATCCGGGCTAATAAGACCGGGGTGTATTAAGAACAGGGTGGAGATATATTTTGCCACGGTGGCGACATAAATAAAAGGATAATGACAAAACCGAAAACCACTTTAGGGGTCCCCGAGCCTGCCATACTCGCAGACTCCTTCCCACTCCATACATGTCTCCAGTATCTGAATACTTATAATACACCACAGCTCAATAAATTATTTCTGTTGTTTGAATTACTTAATGGTATTTTTTTTAAAACTTAGTCTCATGTAAGCGAAGGCTGGTGTTAACACGTTCTAATCCGGTTAGATTAGTGATTCGATCCTTTGATAAAGGGCAAGAGGGCTTGTTATACCAGACATTACAGGATCTATAAACCAACGCTACAAAACCAGAACAGATGGAGTCAGAACTAGAATGTCTTGATTTTGAACCCGGTGGGATGGTCTAAGACCGAACTTAGCAGTGACAACGAATGTCAAGCTAACGTGTAAAATGTGTCTAGTCGTTAGGATGGGACCAACGACTAGGGTCCAGTTTACTCGTGGAATCAGAACTAGAATGTCTTGAGTTCGAACACGGTGGGGTGCTTGAAGAACTCAACTTGGCATTGGTAACAACTCTCAAGCTAACATGTAGACTGTTTCCAGTCGTTAGGATAGGGCCGTTTTACAGATAGGAAGTACATGCTGAAGATACGCCACAGCCTCGACAAAATTTCCCTTCGATTAAGTCCAACCAATCCGGTTAACCTTTACATCAGTTTGTGAACGGAATGTCGAAGACAAAGTGTGTACAAAGCATTTCACCAAAATAGCATTTAGACCAATCAGAATTGAGGACATATCCAATTTACTCTGCAATAAATATATCATATTATTATACCCGGACCATGTCGCATATCGTATACTCTCACATATTATACAGTTTATCAACAAACTACTTAACTGTATATTACAGTACAATTATCTAAATATAATATAATAATAGCATATGCCTTTGAGGAACAATCTATTCACGATCAGATATTTTTTAAATTGTACTGCACTAACAGTTGATCTTTTTAGTCTTTTGAAGATGGTCCTCAGATCACGTTAACTTTTTCTACAAAGCATTGCGTGTTGGTTTTAAACTAACAGTAAGGTGACATGCAAACACGTGCTGTCGTAAAGAAAATTGGCTACCGGATAGCAGAGATGTAGCCATGAAGACAATGAAATTAAATGAAATGAAATGGGGTTTAACGTCCTACTGTTCTGCTCCTATACTGGGCTAATGAAAACGGGCATACGCCATACAGTTTGCTATGAGGGAAATTTTGCCCGGGCAGCGGCACTATCGCCTACTCTTAATTCCAACTTCCAACGGATCTTTTACGTGCATTCCAATGTATACATGGGACCTCGGTTTTTCGTCTCATCCGAAGGACTAGACAGCTGCCGTTGTCAGGCCCTCCGTCCTGCATCACGTGGGGAACCACGCCGGAAAATCTGGATATACTTTCTCGGCCAATACAGGGATCGAACACCCGACCTCCAGGCTAGCGAGCCAGCGTCTTACCCACTTAGCCACGTGATCCCCCATGAAGCCAATTCTTCACCAGGTAGCAATTAAGGTAAAAATTTAAACATACATTATGCAAGAGCTAAATCTGCCAATTGCAGGCCTTTCGTTAGGTCTGAAATGTTATCTAAATTATTAATTAGACATTAATTAACTTATCCAGACCATAATCAACTCTCGATGCCATCGCGGATTTAGCGGATTGGAATACATTTTTTGAAAAATAATTAAAGGTAAAAGTGGATAATCGAGACTTTGTTTTTTTATCGTAATGATCGAGGCTAGCCTAAAATGCAAAAGCTAATATCTCGGTTCAGAGTGAATCAATTTGACTGAAATTTTCAGCATATTCTATTTACGTTATCTATTTTTTTTTTAACTATTATAGTGAGAACTATCAACTTTTTAATCTCCCATAATGCCCATTTAAGAAATGGAGTTTAACCTCTCATTTTTCTGCACCAACCGGGCTAATGAAGACCGGCATACGTCATGCATTGTGCAATACTAGACGTTGTTCCAATTACCAGATACTTCTTCCTGCACCACTGAAAAGAGGAAACCACGCTTACGGTTATTTTATACTGTTATATTTAACGGTTCTAATGTCCCTTTATTTATGTATTCGTTTCTTTTATAATTTCATTTGTAAAGGTTTTCAGTGCAATTATGTACATATTTTATGTGGTATGTTTTGTACTACATGTTATCGTGTGTATGGATTTTTTAAAGTTACAACAAGCCACATATAAAATAATATATACTGTTCTAATTTAATTAAAGATGCATTATGTAAGAGCTAAATCTATCTAATGCCGTTTTTTTCTGTTTGCTTCAAATGTTATATAAAATATTAATTAGACATTTATTCACGCAGCAGACCCGTAATCAACTTCCTAGATCATCGGATTGGTGATATTATATTCAATCCGCGCCATATAATCGGTTAACGTTAAAGTAGCTAAGTCTCTAACTCAATATTTCAATCTTCTCTTTGCATTGAAAGACTACCTAATTACCAAACTTTTAAACCTTTCGAAAGCCTTAACCTAAAAAATCAGCTCTTACAACACATGCGTTCATGCGATTTGTTTGTATCGCCCACTCTCATCTAGTAAAAACAGATACAAAATATCTGACTTTGAAGAAGAATTATCTGTTCTTTTATCAACAACATCAAAAACCAATTCTGTTATTTTAGGTGACTTTAATATTCACTATGACAAACCAGATTGCGCTAGCAGTAGGAGGGTAGTCAAGATTTTAGCCTCGCACAACTATAGTCAACACATTCAGCATACCACACACAAATCGGGTCACATTCTTGACTGGATTCTGACCCCAGAGCCATGTACTCTCATTCAAAGTGCATCAGTTACTGATATTCAAATATCAGATCACTATCTCGTTTCAACCCTATGGAATTTTGAAAAACCGAAGTTGCAGCCAGTTACCTTTTCGTTTAGGAAGATTAAATCATTAGACAAGGAAGCTTTCAGCAACGACCTGAAGTCTTCAGATCTCCTGTCAAATACACCTATAGAGCTTAACGAACTGTGCAGTAAATTTAATAGCACTTTACTTGCCCTACTTGATAAGCATGCCCCAATTGTGACTAAGAAGGTATATCTCCGGCCTGGCAGGTCTTGGTACAATAAAGATGTTCTCATAGCAAAAGAAGATCGTCGTAAAGCGGAACGAAAATATCGCCATTCTCTGCTAGAAGTCCATCGTCAAATCTACCGAAAAGCAAGAGGTGCATACTCAAAGACAATCAAAGATGCAAAATCCGCATACTGCGTCCAAAAGCTAACGGATGAATTTAAGTCTCCCAATCAGTGTCATAATTTTATGAAATCACTACTTGGTACTACAACTGAGATAATTCTACCAAAATCTGACGATGATGACAATCTTGCAAACTCTTTCTGTCAATTCTTTTCATCCAAAATAAATCAAATACGTGAACAATTAGATCACTCCAGTGAAAATGAAGAAGCTGAAGGCATTACACCTTTTTCAGCCACATGTGGAGATTATCTAACATATTTTGAGTCATTCTCTAACGATGAAATTGAAAAACTTATCAAATCATCTAAGAAGACAACTTGTCTACTCGATCCTCTTCCAACAAATATCCTTGTTGAATATCTTGATCTGCTTCTTCCAGTCATTACTCAGATTGTGAACACAAGTCTTAGTACAGGAGTATTTCCTTTAATATATAAAGATGCCGTTGTAAGACCCCTTATTAAGAAAACTTCTCTTGACCGGAATGTGCTTAAGAATTACAGACCCGTCTCAAATTTGTCATTCCTCTCCAAAATCATTGAAAAGGCAATAAACAATCGACTACAGTCCTTCGTAGTTTCTCGAAATCTTTTAGACAAATTTCAATCTGCTTACAGACCACATCATAGCACTGAGACAACTATCCTTTGTGTGCTAAATGATCTGCTGCGCTCCGTAGATAGTGGTAAACTTGTGTCCTTGACCCTGTTAGATTTGTCTGCCGCATTCGATACTGTCGATCATGAAATTCTCTTAAGAAGACTTTATCAAACTTTTCACATAACTGGTACGGCCTTACAATGGATTAAATCTTATCTTACTGACAGAAGACAGAAGATCATTATAAACAAATCTCATTCCGAGTTTGCAAACCTTAATTGTGGAGTGCCTCAAGGAT